GAATAGAGTTATTAGTATTGACTTAAGGGGAAGTAGGATATATTAAAATAATAATAGATTAGTTATATGTATAACTGAGTTAATTATATTGAAATAATTTGAATTGTATAAATATGATTTCGTTTTGATTAATTGATGGCCTTGCCACCATGTAAAATAAAACCAATAAAAATTTTGTTGGAAAAAAAAAAAAAAAAAAAAACAGTTCAAGGAATCTTGTCATGAAATATCTCTGAAATTATGACCAAATGGAGACGGGGAGACGGGTGGTCTAGTAATAAGCTTTGCTTGACAAAGCTTTAGATTATTAACTGCATTTTCTCAGTTTATATAATATAGTGAACTATTAACTTCATTAATATAACCTAACAAACAAAAAGTAGTTGGCTAGTTTGTGATTCATTAACCTATGTATTAAGATTAATCACTTTTCCTTCTTATCAATTTCTCCTGTATAGAAAAAGTACAGTACTCCTAACTTGTACAGGCTGGAAGAATGTTATGCAGCAACTAAAAAAAAAGTGTTTTACAGCTATCCATGGCTCTGAAGAGGGACTAGCAAAATTTCATACAAACTTTCCCACCAAGGCTGAACTGTGAGAGAATTCACAAAATTAACCTTGGTGAGTGTGTATATGCCAAAGTCAATGCAACCAAGTAACACGGCTGCCCTCTATTGGCCATTCCTAATTTCCAGAATGTTTTTCCCAACTATATACAGTATGACAAGATTGTTCTTCTGAACCAAAATGAAGATTATTCATTTTTAATGAAATTTCTACAAAAGAACTTGAATAAAGAAATTCAGTAAAAAATAGCTGAGGAGATAGAAATGTTTAAGGTAGGAAATATTATTTTTTAAATAATCTTTAGATAGACAGATAAACCTTCATTGTCATTTTTTACTGTGGGCACAATGGCACACATTAAAAATGAAATTTAGTTGCTTGCTCTCAAAGTGTACACATACATAACACACATTTAATCTTAATATTTAATAACCTTATTTTCTTCTAATAGGCTGAGATGTAAGATTAAGATTTTTTACATTATTCATATAATTGGGATCCACTGAAGTTGTGATTCCTTTCAAGGCATATAGTGAAAAGAGACATTTTTCAGGCAACTGACAAACCCATGGATGTCTCTCTGTGTGCATTCAAGCAGCAGTCACCCAACACTCATTGTATTTGTTCAGTGCAGTGTCTTCTAAATACTCTGAAATATTTTGCTTTTTAAATCAGATTTTCACTTAACTCATATTTTCATTGTAAATTTGTCCTTACAGTATTCCTAATTCTGTCCTAATTGTAATAGTATAATGACTAGGCTTTTTTTTAATGTGACATACAAAGTATATGTGTTCCAAATAATTTTCAGAGAAGTTTAAATTATTGAGGAATAGGACTACAAGTTTTGAAGCTATGTTCTTCCAATGTAATCTGTGAGTCACATTGAACTAAAAACTAAAATGACATTTTAGCATGTTATATGAACATGATCCATCTGGTCAGTTTATGATCCAGGGTGCCTTGGCAGTCCACAAATAGGGTAAACTGAGTACGGATTAACGACAAATTACCAGGTTATGTGAACCTGAGCCACTAAGTAGAAAATCTGAGCTGGAATTTAACTTTTTATTCATTTGCATGTGATAAAAGGTCCCCTTGAATTTGAGTTTGCTTGAATGCATGTAAATTCACCACTGCAATAGACTCAGTACTCTGAGGATACAGCCAGCAAACAGAGTGGTCTTAGAATTAACACTTGAAGTCAACTATCAGTGTAATGTATGTTTGGATGCAGCCTTTAGTATGCCATAACTTTGACTCAGTCACAGATATTTAACAGGATGATCTAATCTTCTGATTATGCCTCTGTGGTTCCCAAGAAGTGCATTCACTTTATTTCATCTTTCACAAGTGACATGATACACATCAATCACCATAAAGTCACAGCAGGTCAAAAGAAGAAGAGAAATCAATACTGAAGTGCTTTCAAATAAGATTATTTCTTGACTGGTTTTTACTTTATGCCAATGAATACCCATAGCTTTCAGTCTATGTTTTAATCTGTCATCAGACATTAAAACCTTACATTGTTAACAAATAAATCAAAGCTTTCAAGCTCAGCCTTTACATAATGGGGAAGTGTCAAAGTTTACTTAGAAGACCCAAATAATTCAATGGACCGTATTCCCTAGCAAAAATGAGACAAATTATGGTCTAAATTCTAAATGAAATATTTTAAAACAAAAATATAAATAAGATTAGAAATATTTTCTTTAATGCCTATAACTTATTTTTAAAGAAATAAGATAAAGGCTAAGGAAAAGAGAAGGAGAGAAAAAAACCCATTCATTTCTGGAGAGATAGCCATGTTATTTTTTTGCAGTAAATGGAAAAAGGAGTTTTCTAAAGATGCACAAGTTTGTCATTACATATACTTTTCCTGAATTAGAGGTGATCCATGAATGTTTTTAATAAATGTGAGAGTCTTCAACCCTCCCCCCCTTTGTTGTGTTTTATCACTCAATTGCTCACACCTGTATTGTAAATTGCAGATTGTGAGTTGCTGGGTCCCTTTGAACTGAAATAGTTACCAAGTTATAAAGTGTAGCTACCATTGCCAGACAGATTTAAATCAGTACAGAATATGTTTTATTCATTAAGCCAAGAACTCAGGGCTCTGGGCTGTAGAGGTAGAGCTGAGATGCAGAAATTTTTGAATGTTTCATAAAAGAACACAGGTGATCTGAACTAGAAATAAAATCTCTTCTATAATGTTAACTATAGATGTAGTTGCCTTAGGTACATATTTGAAATGCCCTATCCTGCAGAAAATGACTCTATATTGTTATTTAAGGCTCAGTTGTTGATTTAGATCACCAGATGTTCCACCACTTTGTGGAGGAAGAAATACAAGGTAAGATCTTGTTCAACAATATTCTCTAGAGTAGAAATCAGTTGTACCCACCCACTGCCATTCAGAGGAGAGACTCCTATAAAATTAGCAAATTTTGTTAAATGATGTACAGTATTTAATATGATACAGAAAAATCCCTGCTAAATAAAGAGATACTTTTAAAATGAGTTCTTACTTAGTATTCAACCTGAAATCCAACTTTTGGAGGGAAAAACCGCATATTCTGCCTGGGAGAAATCTGAGAAATAACTAGCAATCAGTCAACAACACTTAGTTGACATTATTTTTTAGCAATTCACATACAATTAATTGCCAAGTAAGACAGTATTTTCTAGACAAGTAGGCACAATTGCCATTGTGAATCAGAATGAGGTGGTCCTTGGCATTCTGAATTGTCCATTTATAGTCATGGGGCAAAATAAATATTTACAAGTGATTCAGTACTGTAATGGATCAAGGATACTCCAGGACTAACAATCAGTATGAAGACCATTTCCATGCCAGTGGAACCCACAGTCAGTTTTCTTTCTCTGGCACCACACCCCAGATTTCACACAGCCCTGAGAATTAAAGATTTCCAGAGGACTTCAAGAACTTATGGTAGTAATTCTTGAAAGGCTTTGATTTCGGCTATGTGTCACGGCTCTCACTTGCTTGAAAAAGATGAAAACTGATGTAAACTGAAGTCTTTATGATTGGGTTTTATAATCCACTTCTGAAGACTTGTGAAACAAAAATATTTCAACAGCAAGGGAATCTACAATCTTCAGTTAAGTTGCATTTTTTACCATTTTAAATCAAGAACTCTGTATACTGGAGGCTCAGAGTTCAGGAATAGTTTCCTGGACCACCCAAGGGAATAACAAAAACAGAAATATCATCTCCAGAGCCCAGTTTGTCATTGGCCAGCCTCCAGCCACGATCCTTCAGAACCCCTCTGGATCTCATTACCAACTCCTGGGCTGCCATGGTATACCTGGAAGAGAATTAATTAATTACTATTCACATGAAAATGGCAAGAAATCTAACATATCATTATGAAGTAAGTATTCGTAGGTGCACTATAACCATCTCATCATTTTAATTGCTTGATTGTGAAGAGGAAGGGGAAAAAAAAGAATGGCATAAGGTTATCCTCTTGCGATTTTAATATAAGCTAGTAGTAGATTCAGCCGGAAAGCTGTTAAGAAATAACAGAAATAATCAGAAGCACTTACAGTAAAATGAATTGAACTATTTGGACTTCATATTCAGGGGCACCAGAGTCCAAATCTCTATAATATCATGTAACAAAATACTTCATTCATTTCAGCAAAGGACATGGCAAGGTGGTAACAGAGGGAACTCCATGTATAGCATAGACTTGGCAGAAATGTGAGCTATTAAAAGCAGCCATGAATTGCCTCTGTAGTGAATTGCCTCTGTATTTTTACAAAAAGTAGAACTAAGGAGAAACTTCCTGACAGTGAGAACAATTAACCAGTGGAACAACCTGCCTCCAGAAGCGGTGAATGCTCCAACACTGGAAGTTTTTAAGAAGAGACTGGACAGCCATTTGTCCGAAATGGTATAGGGTTTTCTGCCTGAGCAGGGGGTTGGACTAGATGACCTTCAAGGTCCCTTCCAACTTTACTATTATTATTATTATTATTATTATTATTATTATTATTATTATTATTATTATTAGCAAACAAATAATTAAAAATAAACAGCAAGAAGTGTTTCCATTCCATAGCCCTATCCCATATTTGAAAGACTACCCATTTATTAATCTGTTTATACGTGAAAAGCTGGAAAGAAACTTCAAGATGGAAAAAAAGTTATGGAAGGTTGCCATCATGAATGGAAGATTGGGAGAAAAATCTGCCTGTTTTTCTTCTCAAAAATGCATTTCCAAAAAGTTGCAGTTCTATCCATGAGGTCCTAAATATGTGACTAACCTTGAAAATAGTACTGAACAGAATTCTGAATACAGGTAATCCTCAACTTATGAATGTAATTACTTCTAACTGTTGCCAAGTGACTGATCATAAGTCGCGATTCTCTCTTCTGTGAAACATTGCGGATTCTAGAAGCCCTCTCTCCCTTCCAGTTTTCAGTTAGTGCTCTATTTATATATAAAATGTAATTGCATCCAAGTTACATAAAATTAATTCAACATGGTGTCCTGATAAGCAAAACAAAGAATACAAACTAAGATTGACAGTAAGTGTTTCAGAAAGGACCATTCTAGCCAGTGCACAGTGTCATCCCCAACACTTGAAAGAAAGGAAATACAACTCTACTTACCTGCAAGGATCATTGGGCTCATAGCCCATCAATACATCAATGACCACCATGGCCACCTCTTGATCACTAGTGACATCCCAGAGGCCATCAGTGCCCAGCACCAGCACATCATCAGGGCAGTGCTCATACTGTGTGAGATCATAAATGTGCACCTGCAGATAAACACGAAGATACAACTTTGTTATGAATTTGCATCGTGAAAAAAGGTACCTAAGGGATCACTATCATTATGAACCTGCCAGTTAAAAATGGTAGGAATTCTCAGAGGTTTGAACTTAACAAAAACATGAATGGGCAGAAAGCACTTGAGACTACTGGCTTTTAAAAGCCAAATATTGGAGAAAATGGAACAAATTTGTCCAGATGTATTGGCTGATTTATAAAAGTGGGAAAAAGACATTTTAATTTTAACTTTGTTTGAAAATTTCTAACGGAACATTGATTCTTCTAAATTTCTCCAAAAGGAAATGTCCAGCACTTTCCAGAGGTCATGAATGCCCCATAAAATATCTTTACAATACCAACCTCAGTATTCATCGTTAATTGGTTCTGGGAGGCACAACTAGTACGAAAACGAGTATCAAACAAATTTTTCCCATAAGGAATAATGGAAATAAACTAAACAAAATAAATTCCCAAACTAAAGACAATGCACATTTTTAAGGCAATAAGTAAAAAGATAGCGTTGTATAGCATTACTTTACATGAGAAATAAACCTAAAATTTAATAAATACTTAGATTAAATAAAATAAAAACTTCACTTTACCTGTATTGATGAGAAAAACAGTGCAAAAATACACAAAATGACCACAGAAACTAAGATAAGATTGCAAGTGGATGTGCCCAGGGCAAAAAGCTACCATGTGACTAACACATGTCCCTTTGTTTCGGCTGAAAGGGTAACTAGACACGAGGCAAGTGAAACCAACAAGTTCTAGCTTGCACATTGAGTACCAAACAAATGAGTAATGGGACAAAAATTTCTCATCAAAATACATTGCGTACCAAATTCAATGAGTTTCAAAGCAGTTGAGTATCGAGGTACTGCTGTATTTATTTTCAACATTTCTATACCGCTTCCCATTCAAAGAAATCCTGAAGTAATTAAAGAATGTACTTTGTAACAGAAAGAAAACACAAATATTCTGATATACTGTTCTTAAAACAAATAAAGGGAAAGCTTATCTTTAAGGCCAGGGAAGTTAGATTTGTCTCTCACACCAGGGGTCTACAAGGGGGCATGTCATGGTATCACCAAACTTACTGGCACCACAGTTTTCAACTTCTATTTATAGAGGACTTAAATTTTTTTCACCATTAAGCCTTCAATTTTTTGTCCCTTCCTATTTGAGAAGGTCTGGGGGCTAAAATATGTAAATATGGAAGGTGATATTTGTGTGAAGAGTTGCATTAATCGAGTTCCAGAGTTTTCAAAGCATGCCCATCTCCAAGTATACACACACACCCAGACACACAAGCACGTAGATATAGATACACAGAACACAATATAAATACAGGTACTCCTCCACTTACAACCACAATTGAGCCCAAAATTTCAGTTGCTAAGCAAATAATTTGTTAAGTGAATTTTGCTCCATTTTACAACCTTTCTTGCCACACTTGTTAAGTTAGTAACATGGTTGTTAAGTGAATCTGGCTTCCTCATTGACTTGGCTTGTCAGGAGGTCATAAAAGGTGATCACATGACCTCAGGACACTGCAACCGTCAAAAATATGAATCAGTTGCCAAGCGCCTGAATTTTGATTATGTGACCATGAGAATCCTACAATGGTCGTAAGTCTGAAAAATGGTCATTAGTCACTTTTTTCAGTGCCGTTGTAACTTCAAACGGTCACTAAATGAACTGTTGTAAGGACTGCCTGTATATCTCAAGGTCCAGAACATTAGTTTTGTTGTGCTCACCTCTGGAACGCAAGATAAGAAAGGTTTAATGTGGATGTTGGAGTTGTAAACTTTGAGATCATGGTCTCCTAAGCCTCGAGTTACCCCAATGGTTGCCATCATTCGAGCCTAATCAGAAAAACAAGTAGCTGATAAAGACTTGATGCAATACGAAGACATTTATTCAATTCCACATTGTTAGAAACAAGATTTGTTAGTGCAAAACATTGGAAGACTAGATATCTTTCACTGAATTGGTGGTATTTAAAAGTCTGAAAAGTTGCTCTATCTAAAAAATATATATCAAAGCATCAAAAAGCATTAAGAAACTCAACAGAAGAAAAAATGTTTTTAAATTTGGTCACCATATATTTACTTTATCAAGAATGTTTTTCTTAAGTAACTACTTTCAGCTGTACAAAAGTCATTTTGAAAAGCAATATTAGAAATGGATATTTAAAGTGTCATATTAATTTCTTAAAGACAAAACTGTATATGTCTTCATGTGTATACTTTCCTTTTAGGTTTCCCATTTATTTTTCGTCTTAATATTTTTTTAAGTTGCTAGTTTTCCCTCTTTTTCTTTCTTCAGTAAAAATGCAAACAATCCAAATGCTAGATGCATTTATTTAGTATCAAAACATTAATCCCATTTAAAAAAAAACACCTGTTGACTCTAAAACTGTAACATAAAACTGGCATTTATTTAAGTGATATAGATGTGCATAACCTGGTTTCAATTCCATTATCCTTCAACCAACCCTCCCCCCCCACCCCATGCTCATTTAATCTAACATTGTCTCTGTTCACTGAAAACGAATAGCACAAAGACTCCCATATTAGTTTTAGCACTTA